AGGTCAGATGCACTATTCCCTAAATAATTAAAATGTGGAGACCAAATATACCACCATAACGAATTTGTCATAACATCATTATATTCTATGGGTTTAATGAATGTGCAGACAATGTAGTTATCTGTAACTGTCATATAACTGTATATTCACTGTCATTCACAGGAGAGGGCCATTTAATGTGTACCTAATATGAAGTGGGTTTTCATGAAAAAAAAAAAAAATCTAACTAAAATCAGAACTGAAAACAAACACTGGATTAACAAACAAAAAACTCCCAATAAATGTCCAAACAGCGATGCTATCAGAACATTTATTGTGAACATATCTTGCATCATTTACATCTATTTTTGCAGTTGATGTTGATTTAATAGGAATTGTTACTTATTATTGTCATACCAACTGAGAATTTATTGCAATGATTTTAAATTCAGTTGAGGTATCTGACATATGATGACATAAGACTGATCTTTTATATGAAGTCTTTAGAGCCATAGACTATAATATGTTGTTTTTATATATATAACCTCTGTCTGTCCTGGTTGGTCTTTATCAATAACAACATATATGTACAAATCATCCAAGCACCCAATTCCTAGCCATTTCTAATATAGGCTACATTTCATTAACATTGCTAAATATTATTAAACTGGAAAGAAATTAAAGATCCATCTTTGATTGTCAAAAGAATTCCGGGTTTCCTCCCAGCCAATTAGATTTCACGCATTTCCATCGGTCAGTCGTGGAGGTCTGATTGGTTAAAGCTTTATTTATATAGCACCTTTTAAAACAGTGTTTACAAAGTACTTTACAGAGAGATGCATATGTGCATTCACAGAAAAGAACAAAATACAAACATAAAAGAGATAAAGTGGGCCTAGTAAAACAAAGTACAATAACCAGTTTATGTATAGGCCTAGTTTAAATACAACAATAAAAAAAAATCAAGGAAAGGCCCTGAACAAATCTGTTTTGAGACTACTTTTTAAAAGTGCATAAAAACTTTTGACAACATTTAATTCAGGTGTAAAAAGAATTAATATCTGCATGAGCATAGAGAGATTCGCGAGTGCACAGGACACAGTTTGAGCGCTCACACTTTGAGCTAGAGGAGAGACACGTTTTAAGTGCGCGCACTCTCTCTCGGCGAGAGCAGCGTGTCTCTGAGCACGCGCGTCCGGTTTTGTGCGAGAGCAAAGGAAATCCGCGTGCGAGCAGAGAGATTTGCGCATTATATTTATGTGCTTTCGCGCTACAATAATGTGCTCTCGACATTTGTCATTAAAATAACACCATACCTGTCCTCTCACTCCGATATTGCTTGTGCACACTCAGACTGTGTGCAATCGCAATCTCTCCATGCCTTTAAAGTAGAAATTATTTCTCTTTGCTCCTGGGTTACACTTTGTCAACAGTTATCAACCATTTAGAATAGATCCACACCTGACCGATGAAAATGCTATTAGAAATTTTATTGTCTGTAAGTGAAATGCAGAAAGTCTTTCAACAATCAAAGATGTAACTTTAATTTCTTTACAATGTAAGTTTATGCTAGAAATGTTTCGGAATGGGATATTTGTATGATTTGTACATATAAGTATTCTAGTCTGTGTAACTGCATTACAGGTCAGAGCCATCTGATGTTCCATTTAAATAAATAAAATATATCTTAAATCACTGCTTATAAAAATTCAGTGTCGTCATATTTCAAATACCTCAACTGAATTGAGGTAATTTGTTTTATAATTTTATTACTGACTGTGTACTTGTCTTTCTTTTTTTTGTACATTCATTTAAGTTTGAAAGCAACGTTAGTTCCTGTCCCTTATTGAGTTCCATTTGTTTCAGCTGTGTTCTATTTATTAGTCTCTTTTAGTTGTGTATTTAAAGAGAGTTATGTTACTGGTTTCTTCGTCCAGTGTCTATTGTCATTTCCTCAGGTTACTTTGGATTCCCTTTGGTTTTTGTTATTAAAAGTCTCTTTTTGAGCTATCTCCTAGCATCTCCTCGCTCCACGCTAGCTTTGATGTGTGACAGAACACCGGACCTTACTAAGATGGCTGAAGCTGAGGATCGGCTGTGGTGCCTGCGTCAGGGTGGCCGGCCTTTGGAGAGGTATGTGGAGGAATTTATCGAGCTCTCTAACTGGGTGAGCTGGCTCGAGGCCACACTCTGTGCCTGTTTTCAGCTGGGGCTGGATGATGATGTTATTCGCAGCGATCTCCCCGTGTGTGATTATTTTTTCCCTTGATCGAGCTGATTAATCTTGTCCTCTTTTTAAATGGTTCCGAATTAGAGGTAGAAGAAATTAAGTGCTATCCAGCCCCTCCTGAAAACTACAGGGCCTCACCAGCTCCCCCCACGCCGGGAGTTTCGGAATGGGATATTTGTATGATTTGTACATATAAGTATTCTAGTCTGTGTAACTGCATTACAGGTCAGAGCCATCTGATGTTCCATTTAAATAAATAAAATATATCTTAAATCACTGCTTATAAAAATTCAGTGTCGTCATATTTCAAATACCTCAACTGAATTGAGGTAATTTGTTTTATAATTTTATTACTGACTGTGTACTTGTCTTTCTTTTTTTTGTACATTCATTTAAGTTTGAAAGCAACGTTAAAATCAAGCTTCCTTGTGCTGTAAGCTTTTGCAACAAAGTTACCCTACTTTAAAGACACAAATACACAAAGAATGAGCAAATGTTTAAGATTTAAATTTTTGTAATGTAATTGATCAATGTTTATATGTATGTAAGTAAAATTGTTCATCATATAAAGCGAACATGTCTTTTTAGAAGACTTGGATGAAACCACTCAAAGCTTGAAGTAATGATTGCCTTGAAAAAATGGATGGACAAAAAAATTTGAGATATTAAAATATCTATATGGCAGAATACAGTATGTGTGTCACGCCATAGGACTGTTCTGCATGTTTGTTTTGGTTCCCATGTGCTCCTTGACCTAGACCCCCCCCAC